ACACACACACATGCGCGCAGACGTCCATGCGCGTTAAAACCACACGTCTGACTGAGTGTCTTTGCCTCAGTTTGTCTGTGCCGGTCTGACATCCCCCGCATTCTTGAGATTTTTAGCAGGGAGCTGGAAAACAAAAAAGCTGAAGGGAGGAGTTGTTAACACGGGAACATTATCGGCCCAACGGCCTGTCGGCGTTATCTCTGGTGTGGGACACAGCCAAGACAGACGGGGGGGGGGGGACGACTTCCAATCACATTTTCCAGCTTTTGGGTGACCTTGATGTGTGAGGAAACACAATTTGTCTCTCCCTCTGCCTGGCGCAATCTCACTCCCTCATATTCTCCCTCCGCACTTTGTCTCTCTGTCTTTGTCCCGGGCTCACACACATAGAAACACACACACATCTTTGATTTTTATTCAGGTTTTTGAGGACGTTCTGCTGACTTTCCGCCCACAGCTCCTAAAACTCACCCACCCCTTGCCCTAAACTTTACCTCAATCCTGTTATGATCACCCACAACCTGAACAGTGAAGATGACCAAAAAAATGTTCAGTTTGTCCAACTGAGGACATTTGAACTCAGCAACAGCAGCGGCCCCTGCGTCGCTTTCTGCACTCAGCTGCAAGCACTTCTGTGGAAATCGGAAATATTTTCATGAGGAAGCGAGCGATCTCACCCACGATGAAAGTTCCACACTTTCAGGTCAAAGTCAATCTGCTGAGAAAGACTGGGATGCGACCTTGAGCTTTTTTTCTGTACCATAAATGATGCTCAGTTTATTCTCGGACTCTGTGGCTGATGGTATGTGACAGAGATATAAATATTCAACTGCCAAAGGAGCTGAACTGCACCTTTTTTTTAAACACAGCACATTTGTCAGGCCTCCATATGATCCTGGTCAAGGGGAAAATCAATATTTACAGGGTAAGCGTGTGTTTCCACCTCCACCGCCGAGCATCCAACACAAACACACATCTGTCTCCGTTTTCCCGTAATGTCTGTCCTCCGTCTCCCCTCATCGTCTCTACCACTCTGGCTCGAGTTCCCTCTCTCACCTCCTCCCTGTCCCCTCCCCTCCTTCTTTTGTCTGCAGGTCAGTAGATCAGGTTTCAGTCTGGCTCGTCGGGTGATCCCCGCTTTGGTTACCTCGTCCCTCGCACCTCTCGCTTACCCCCACCTCCCTCCCCCCCTCTGACTCACCCCGGTAGCATATGGTCGACCTGAACTCGCGGTGGTTTTTAATAAATATATCAGCGTGCTGCTATCGCCGTGACAGGGGTCACGGGTCGATTACAGTGTGTGCTTGTGTAACAGAGGGTTGGAGAGAGGGCAGAGTGTGTGTTTCTGTGGTTGTTTCTGGTTGACGCTGCCTTCGTGCACTCCGCATGTTATCGCAGGAGCTGTGCGCGCAGATGTCTGACTGCGTGTGTGTGTGTGTGGGGGGGGGGGGCGAGTCCGCGACAGACGTTCATCATATTTAATCCCGGAGGGATTTCGTTGAAATGAAAAGCTGCTTTTCAATTTTATAATCCAGTAGACCTAATCCCTCCGCCGGCGCCCGTCCATACAGTCCAATTAGATGGACAAGTCCGGGCCAGATGAGTCCCACTCGCCACAAAGTTATCACCGTGGCTCGTCCTTGCCTCGTCAAAAACGCTGCGGCGCCCCTGCGACGCCCCCGCAACGCGCTGACCTTCACAAAGTGCTGTGAATCTGTGCAATGCAAAAAAACACTGCCCACTGTCAACCCACCTGTTTCCACTGCAGTCTTGGCCTCGTTAACGGAGCATTGATTAGACATTGGATGTGTGTGTGTGTGTGTGTGTGTGTGTGTGTGTGTGTGTGTGTGTGT